AAAATCTTTATTTGACAGTAATTTTCAGTTATGCCCAGGGAGATTTGAAAATAACCACCATATGGCTAAAAATAAAGACCCTTAGCCTTGACTAAAGCTTTGTGAATTGGGTCTATGGAGAGGATACTTTTTTCAGCAAAAGGGAAATTACGTGTTTGATTTTTTTTTTTGTACTGTTGATATGCTGGTGAGGGGATGCACTGGACACCCTGGCTGTCATTGTGCTACATGCTGGATGTCCAGTGCACTCCTGTACCTTTAAGGAGGGGTGGGCTCCCTCAGTCTATCTATTTATACACATGCTTCTACTATGGGGGCTCTCAAACTTTATAGAGTTAGGAACTGCAGAATATCGGGGTGCCGTGAAGGGGCTCTGCAGCTTACACATGTATTTGCAAATGTGTGCTAACTAAAGCCCTGGTTTTTAATGCAAACTGTTAAACAGGACAGTTTAGTTTGTTCACAAGCTGGTTGGTAAGTTGAGCTGGGAATTCTTCTCTTTTATTGTTTGACATGCGTCGCCCTTCCACGTGCTCCTTGCTGTGAAGGCCAGTTATTGATTGGAGCAGTGGCCATTTTTTGTACTGTTGATATTCTGGTGAGGGGGTGCACTGGACCCTTAGCTGCCATTGTGCTATATGCTGGGTGTCCGGTGCGCTCCTGTACCTTTAAGGAGGGGTGGGCTCCCTCAGGGTCATCTGTCCTCAGTCTATCTATTTATACATGTGCCTCTACTATGGGGGCTCTCAAAATTTATAGAGTTAGGAACTGCAGAATATCGGGGTGCCGTGAAGGGGTTCTGCAGCTTATGCATGTATTTGCAAATGTGTGCTAACTAAACCCCTGTTTTTAACGCATACTGTTAGGACAATTCAGTTGGTTCGCCAACTAGTTGGTAAGTTGAGCTGGAGATATTTCTCTTTTATTGTTTGACATGTGTCACTCTTCCTTGTGCTGTGAAGGCCAGTTATAGATTGGGAAAGTGGCCATTTTTATTGTAAATTACATTTTTTATGAGTCTATGTTGTCTGAGGGAGGGTTGTACCTTGATATTCATTTTTTGATACCTTTACCCTTTTACTTGGGCGGCACAATGACAAAGGGTGGCGCTTATGCCAAGAAGGCGACCTAACTTGTAAAAAAAATATTTTTTCAAGAAAATTCTATAGAAAAGACTTTCAAGTGTATCAGACGTGGTGGCCTGTGAGTAGACCCAAAGAATTACAGCGATTTGGATATGACTGAACAGATATATACACACACATACCTATTTTTTTTTATTGGTTACAAATAATTTTAATTAAAACGTTTTGCCTGTAGTTCTTTAAAGTGTTACTAAACCCAGGACCCAGCATTCTCTATATCTGGTCTCCCCGGACCCTGCATTCACTATATCCGCTCTCCCCGGACCCTGCATTCACTATATCTGGTCTCCCCGGACCCCGCATTCACTCCGCTCTCCCCGGACCCTGCATCTGGTCTCCCAGGCCCCTGCATTCACTCTATCTGGTCTCCCACAGTACACACAACATGGAAATGCAATTATTTTAGTAAATATAAACTGCTAAATACCTTTTTCATTAGCATTTAGAGCAGTCTTGTGACTTCTATCAAGAGTCCAGCACAGCACATGTTAAAGCTTGTAGGAGTTTTTTTTACTGCTCTAGGAGGATGCAGAATCCCTGACCTCTGTCTGGACAGTGCTGATTGGCCCTGTGCTGATCACATGCAGTCTCCCAAGAAAAAAAAAAACCTAACAATACGCACCGAACTGAGCATGGTGCAATCGCTGTTTAGGTACCAATGCGGAAGTATGTACTAATGCGGAAGTATGTGAATGTACTGAAATACTGCTATTCATTACTATGAGCGGCTGTATACTGCAGCTGTCTGTTCCAGGAGCTGAGATAGACCTGCAGTTTACATTGGTTTCCTCCAGCTGCCCGTGTGCCAGGAAGACATAGAAGTAGCTAAAGGCGCAGCACAGTATGTCAAACATTCTTCTGCATCACAAATAATTTATTCATTGTGATTTTAGCTTGAATTGCCAATGTTCTCACCTAGCAATCAAAGCAAAGGAATGAAGATTTGGAACATTGAACAGAGCAGAACCCGCAGTCCAGTGCTCAGAAGAACACAATCTGCAGATAAGATTTTCATGTTTCTTCATCTTACCTTCTATCAGAATGACTCTTTAGACATGACAGTAAATATTCATTGGTCATCTTTCAGTGTTCCCTTCTGTAAGGATGTCAAATAAAAATAAACACAATACATGTGCCTATTCATGACGTACAGCCACATTACAGTCATTCTGTTGGGGCTCCTTCACACGTGAAAAGTGATCTGCAGTGGATCGCCTCCTGTTTTAACCCTCAAAATGCCAACCCTTCATGCTGAAACCACTTGCATTGCAGACAGTCACAGAGTGGTTGCGGTCCAGCCCAATTCATTTGAATGGGTCACTTATGGCAGCGGTAGCACCTGACAACTGCAACATGGGGGTGCCTTGAGGTTTCTTCTGGGGTGCCTTGGCAAAATGTCTCCTAGATTGTAAGCTCTAATGAGCAGGGCCCTCCGTTTCCTCTTGTACCAAATTTTATTGTAACTGTAATGTCTACCTTTGTTTTGTAAAGCGCTGCACAAACTGTTGGCGCTTTATAAATCCTGTATAATAATATAAAATATATATATAGGTCTACAAATTGCCCAAAACTTGTATACAAGCCAGCAGGTGGAACAAGCCTGCCTTTTAGTTACAGAAAGCCACAGGTTTTCATTGTGCACCATTACGACCTTCTAGCCACTGGCATACTGGCAACCAATGACATCATCATTTGATAAGGAGGATGTTGGTTGCCTGCACAGCACTCAAGTTTGACCCTCCCCCGCCCCTCTCCATCAGTGCTGGGGTCACATTACCTCAGTGAAGGAGAGAAACTGAGGGAGCAGAGAAACATTGGAATACTAGTCAGTACCAGTGTGCAAAAGTGTACTTGATCTGGAAGAATAAATCACCTCTAACGTTGGGTGTCCTACATGTGTGGAGGTCACTTCATTATATAAAACTATTATAATTGTTTAAAATTATGAACAGTCTTGAGGCACCCCATTCTGAAATGTTAAAAATTAAAGGGTGCCTTGACATTGTCCATAATTTTAAAGGGTGCCTTAACTAAAAAAAAGGCTGAGAAACGCAGCTTAAGCATCCAAGTCAGTTGTGAATAACTGAATGTAGACATCAGTAACCAGTCAGTCCAATTCAGATGCCTGTTGACACATTTAGGGGTCAGGGAACAAGTTTTTCTAGAAAAATAAAAAAATGATGCCCAAGTGTATTTGCATCTTTTAATGACATTGGTGACCTGGCTCCTAAAATGTGTGCAGACCTAATCAAGGTGTACAAAAGCAAACAAAGCATATGCAGCCTAATACTGAAACAGTCATACCACAAACTACATACACATGGTAACGTCTGAGCAAAGAAAACTCAGCAAACAAGATTTAGAAACTCAAAAAGTACGAAAATAGTTTAATTGAAAACAATGAAATAGTATTATTTATAAAGACAATTTCATAAAGTATGACAAAAGCCCATCTTCATTTATTTGGACCTTCGACCTATGGATCCAGACCTGGAAATCCATTCTCTAAGCTTCCTGAGAACAGATCGTTCTGTGCGCCATAGAACAACTGCATTTAAATCAAGTTTGAGCAAGCAGCTAGCTTCAAGGCTGGGGACCTAGTGATTCATCATGGGGCAAGGTGAGGATCACGTCAGGTATTCAAGAGATGAGATTTTATACTCAGAGCCGTTCTCTGTCTTTAACATGGGGTAGGGACATTTGAAAGCTCATCTCCAGTATTGGAGGGTGTTTGACTGGAGTGAGGTACGTTTGGAATAAACAAGGGAAACAGGAAGGTACAGATGCGTTTCTAACTCTTCCTGCTCTACAGGTATTGTTTCAATGTCGATTTCCATTGGATAGATTTTCGATCACCTTTTGTCTATATGACACACTCACAAGGACAGAAAGTGAGCAGACGTCTCCTTAATTACCCCCCTCTCCTGCTATCTAGAAGCAAAAGCTCTGAGCAGATTGGTCCTTTAAAGAGACAATATCATCTTTCCCATTCAAGGCAAAAGGGTACCAAAACATTTCAACTCCCCTCCCCCATCCCATTAATACTTTCCTTACCAGGGCTCACTTGCCGCTTCTTGCTCCATCACAGCCAGCACTAAGGTCCCCAGTGTTGATTAATGTTGGATGCTAAGGTGAGTAGTAACATTGCTCCCTCTGTCATGGGACAGTACTAAGGTCTAGTGACTAGTGGCTATTCGACCCAAGCACTGTCACGAGAGGAGGTCACATACTCCTCCACACCACAGAACACTGGTTATGGTTGCCTACTGCAATGGAGGAAGAAGCGGCAGTTGTTGTCAAGATGAGCGTTAGTGGTTAGGGAGGCCCTTTGCAAAGATGCTGTTACTTAGTCCTGAATGGTCAAGGGGACATTGTGCTGCTGCCTATTTGGTACTTTATTTCAACTGTATCTGTGGTGTTACTGCTTGCAAACAAAGCTTTAAAGGCAGTAAAATGGCCGCCTCCTGCCATTTTTCAAAATAAAAAAAGAAAAAAAAAAAAAAAGTGGGGGCAGAGGAATTTAAAGAGTTAAAAGAGCTGAAATCTCCAGAGGCTTCAGTACTACTGTAAAAATTCTGAGTCAAGAGTTATGCTGGGTCACTCTTGTAAGAACCGTATTCTAAGTGCCATTTCATTTAACAAGCAACATCTTGATTGTGCTGTAAGCAAAACTTAAAATTACGATCAAAGTCCCTGGCCAGCCACAATCTCCAGTGTGCACAAGTGACAGTTGGGGCATTAAGTGCTCTCTCTGCTATAATCTAGGGTGCACAATCTTTTTGTCAGTGTAGAACTGATCAGCGATTCCTGACTCTAGAGGAGGCCTGGTAAAGAGGAGAGGTAGTAGTCTGGGTTTTAGCTAATGGTTCTCTGTGGTACTGGGATATTTTCATGCAAATACTTCATACTGCCATTTTCAGAGAAGTCGGAGACGACATGATTCTCCCCCCTCAATAACCATTTTGTGGTGAGCAATCCCTCTATACCAACAGGCCCCCGTGCATGGATCCGGGCTGTGCTGATACCGACTTCTGCTCCTGAGGGGAAATGAGAAATAAGAGAATGTAATTTACAGACTATGGCAGGACAACAACTAGAGATCGGTTAAAGAGCAACTCTAGGCAAATACAACAGCTCACAAAACTGTCAATCCAGATACAGGAGTCCTGCTTCGTGAATTGATGTAAATGAAGAGGAGGTTAACAGTGTTCATCGGTAAATGTGCGTTTTTTAAAAACACGCTACAAACTTCATCACTGGAAGACCCAAATTCTACACCTACAGTACCTTCCCGAAATTATATGTATTACTATAGTACAGGTGCTCTTTAGTATCCAAATGAAAAGAAAGAATAATCCTGCACTCAGTATACTTTAAAGTGGTCCTAAAGGCTCAAGGTTTTTTGCCATTATGCATTCTATGTATGAAAGCAAAAAACCTTGCAGCATATCCCCCCCAGCACCCCCTAATACTCACATAGGCCCCCTTTCAATCTAGCGATGTGCACTGGAGTCTCGGTTATCCTGGGACTCCCTCTCCTCATTGGCTGAGAAAGAAGCAGGAGCAATTGACTCCCACTGCTGTCAATCAGAGCCAGTGAGCCAATAAGAATAAAGAGGGCAGGGCCAAGCCGCAGCTCCATGTGTGAATGGATACATGGAGAAGCGGGTGCCTACATAGCAAGCTTCTAGCTGTGAGGGCACCTAACAGGAGAAAGGGGCCAGAAGCACCTGCGGGGAACCAGAGAAGAGTAGGATCTGGGCATGCTCTGTGCAAAACCACTGCACACAGCAGTCAAGTACAGACATGCTTGTTGTTTAAAAAAAGAAAAAGAAAATAAGCCTTTAGAGTCACTTTAAATATCAAAGACTGCAGTACCTCAATCACAATCAGGTAGGATGTGTAAAATAAATGAAAAACCAAACACCAGTACGCTGTCTCCTCTAGCCTAACAAATACTTAGCCATCATATAAAATAGGTCAAAGGGCAAGCAACAAATATAATCTCAAACATTATTACAAATACCACAGATAAAAATATGCAAAGAACGACAAAAAAAAAATGCAAAAAAAACCCCGACTTTTGATCTCCAGAAGACGCTTGTTACGGAGAAACGCGTTGGTAGGGGCTACACGTGTGACGTCATTCCGCATGCAGCTGGGAACTCTGGCGTTGTTGTTTGTATTTTTAACAGTCATGAAGAGCAGCGATTTGTGCAGTGTTACCTATGGATTGAAGGGTGTAACGTACTTCCAATAAAAAGCCAGTTTTTATGGCATTACTCTATGGGAGGACCTTCTTTGTTTTAATTTTTGGTACGAAGAAGGAGGGAGTGGCTTCTACCAGGGAGGATCGGAGCAGTCTGTGGCTGTGCAGCGGCATAAAACTCTCAGATCCCTCTGCACCATCCATCCATGTCTACTGAGCGGAAGGTGGAAAGATTTTTGTCCTTGGGGATCGAGGTTTAAAGTGGATGCTGGAATCTATTTGGTAAGAAGCTTCATAACCCTTGATGGTGGTGTGATCCTGGGACGCAGCTTCTTTACTTGGGTGACTTTTTATTTTCGTCAACTCACATGAAAAGCATGGATTTGGGACTTCATAAATGAACTTTCAGTTTTTTGCGGTTTTTTTTTTTTTGCACATTTTTATCTGTGGTATTTGTAATAATGTTTATGTGATTACATTTGTTGATTTCACTATGATAGCTATATATTTGGCAAGCTAGAGAAGAGAGTGCACTGGTGTTTGCTCTTTAACCATTTGCCCCCCGCCCTATGGCCGAATGGCGGGCGGCAAATGTCATCAGCATTCCGGGTGGACGCCATATGGCGTCCTCCCGCACATGCGCAGATTGCGCTCCTGCAGAGCGGCGCGATCTGTCACCGGCCGTGTACCTCGGACACGGCCGATGACAGATCTGAGTATCGGCCCCGTTGCCTGTACCATGTGACCTGCTGTGACCAATCACAGTAGGTCACATGACAGTTGTATACAATGGATGGCTTCATTCATGCCATCCATTGTATACTAGTGTCTAGCTGTGAATGGTCACAGCTAATGACATGCACATGTCATGTGATTAGCTGTGGCCAAATCACAGCTAAGCACAAAAAAAAAAAAAAAAAACCTGAATGAATCGATGTCATTCAGGTAAATGCTTGCTTATAGCAAAGTAATTCTTTGCTATAAGCAAATTGTGTGGAAAAAAAAAAAAAACACTGATCACTATGGTAACATTGTACTACTTTGGTCATAGCGAAATATGACAAAAAAAATCTTAAAAAAAAAAAAAATATATATATATTTTTTTTTTTGTCATACTGTCACCAGTCAGTGTCCCTGATCACCGCCATGACAGTTATATGATGACACTGTGCTGCACTGGTGACAATATGTAAAAAAAAAAAAAATAGTGAAACTAATTTTTTTAATTTTTTAATTTTCCGAAAAATTATGACAAAAAAAAAACTTAAAAAAAAAAACTCGCCATGCCTCTTATGAAATACGTCGGACTGTCTACTCTGCAAAAAGGGGTCATTTGGGGGATATCTGTACTGTTCTGACATTCTTGGACCTCAAGAAATTAGATTGGCTGTCAGTACTTCAGGATTGATCAATATTCAGAACTATACCATAGTTTGTGAACTCTATAACTTTCCTACAAACTAAATAATACATCCTAATTTGGATTATTTTCACCAAAGACATGTAGCAGAATACATCTCGGCCTAAACTTATGAATAATTTATTTGCAAACTTTTATAACAGAAACAAAGAAAAACCTTTTTTTTTTTTTTTTTAAAAAAATTTTGTCTTTTTTTGTTAATTTAGCAAAAAATAAAAACCCCAGCGGTGATTAAATACCACCAAAGGAAGCTTTAGTTGTGTGAAGAAAATGATAAAATTTTAGTTTGGGTACAGTGTTGTATGACCGCGCAATTGTCATTCAAAGTGTGAGAGCGCTGAAACCTGAAAACTGGCCTCAGCAGGAAGGTGTAAAAATTGCCCGGTATTGAATTGGTTAAAGTGTAATCCAACCTGTTTCAGTACTTTACCAACCTGTCCCAATCCAAAGAGATCTTGGCTATGTGGCTTCCAGGGCATCGCACAAGTATTTGTGAAAATGTACACCGGGCCTGTGCACATAAGCCGCACCCTCAATGCTTTAGCACATACAAGCTCTCTCCAAGATTAGATGCAGCATGCATGCACAGGCCCAAGCAGGGTATTGACCAGTGGCTGCATGACACCAACAAGGCCACAAAGCCAAGACCTTTCTGGATTGAGGGCAAGTGGATAAAAAGATTGGTTGAGGGCTACTCAAAGTGTAACTGCACTAAATGTGTAGTAACATGATCAATCAGCCTTCTCAACCTTTGTACCCCAGAAAAACCTTTGAGAAAATGTTCAGGTCTTAAGGAAGCCCATTGGAGGTCATTAGGAAAAGGCCCCTTACGTTGGTGGTCACTAGGAAGAATACCCCCCTTACAATTAATTGAAAAGACCACTGGTGTCATGCTGCTGACTCTGCCAAGTGGTGATGAGCTATGAAGACACCATCAGATTTGGGGGAGTCAACTGACCACAGCTCAGAAAACCCCCTATCTACCTCTAGAGGAACCCTAGAGTTCAACAGAACCCTGGTCTGGAATGGCCACTTTAAATGTATGGGCCTATACATATGAACATATGCATCTACTGACATGTGGTCATAAATCTCACAAGACAAAAATGTGTAGCATGAAATAATTTATGTTACCTAGACCAAATCGATAACCGTCTGAAAATCTAGTGCTGGAGTTCCAGAACACACAGGCGCTGTCTACATGCTGGAGAAAGTACTCAGCTGTGGTCTCTGCAAAGCAAAATTAAAAAAGTCATGAGAGAGAGACTGAAGAAACCTTGAACAGCAGGTCTTAAGGCGAAGCAAATGAAGAATGCTCCTTAACCACTTCCAGGCCACCCTATAGCAGTTTTACTGCTACAGGGCAGCCGCTCTGCGCAAAATCACGTAAATATACTTATCTCCGGGTAGGCGGTGTACATGCGCCACCCTACCCGCACTGTCATTGGATCCCAAATATGTCAATCACGGGGTACCGCCTAGCGACTCAGGGTTGGAACTTGGTGATCAGTGGAGCAGCTGACGGGAGAGATCTGCGAGTGCGAACAACACAGACCTCTTTCCTGTCAGTATGTTCAGTAGTAAAAACATCCCTATTACACAGTTAACCCTTTGTTCACCCCATATGTTAACCCATTCTGAACTTTCGGTATCGGTTTCAGCGCCAGAATTTTCATTTTGGTGCACCACTAGTTAGAAGACAGCACATTGTCCCATCTGCAGGAGTTTAGGAGATTATTAAAACCCTGTACGGCCCTCCAAGCCCCTCCAGTACCATCTAGCAGGATGCAAGAGGACCCTAGCTTTGTAGCTGCATTTATTATTAACCACTTCCAGACAGGCCGTTGCATATAAACGGCTGGATGATGGCAGTGCAGGGTCGGGTGGTCGTTTATAAACGGCCTCCCTGCACCCTGCTTGTGCACGCTCCCTGGGAGAGCACAGCACCGTGATCCGGTGCCCGCTGTGTCCTCCGGACACAGTGAAACACAGATCGTCGGACGGGACCTCTGTACGAGGTCCCGATCATGTGATCATTGATTGGCCAATCAGTGATCACATGCAAAGTAGTAAGCAAGATGTCACTTGTGACATCATTGCTTACTACGTGTGAAATCTGTGAATGATCACAGAGGTCACATGGTACAAGGCTATTCACAACAGCCTTGTACCATGTGACAAGCTGTGACCAATCACAGCTCACTCAGTACTTCTCAATGCAAGACTGCACACAGAGAGAAACGAGAAATGACTGCTTTTACATCCTATATGGGTGTAAAAGCAATAGGTGTAAAAAAAAAAAAAAAAAAAAAAAATTCATCACCCCCACAAGTAGTACAGTGTCACCATGGTGACACTGTACTGCTAGGGTGACAGTATGTAAAAAAAAAAAAAAAAAAAAAAAATGTAAAACATAATATAAAAATAAAATAAAAATGTAAAACAAAAAGTTTAAAAATTATAATTTTTTGGTTATAAACTAATTTGTTTTTTTTTTTTTACTAAAAAGATAACGGAATAAATTTTGGCAAAGATTTATGATGAAATATTATTTATTTGCAAAATTTTTGGACTTTTTCATTTACATAGCAAAAAAAATAAAAATCCCAGCGGTGAATAAATACCACCAAAATAAAGCTTTATCTGTCTCAAAAAAATGGTAAACAATTCATTTGGGTACACTGTTGCATGACCGTGCAATTGTCAAAGTGTGATAGCGCTGAAAGCTGAAAATTGCCCTGGTCAGGAAGGGGGTGAGAGTGTCCGGACAGGAAGTGGTTAAAAAAAAAAAAAAAAAAAAAAGGAAGATCTAAATATGAAAAACAAAAGAGACTTTATATGGATAGGATGTGGCTACAGCCGCTCCTGAAACAAGAGCTCACCATTCTCTGTAACAATGGCATCGGTGTGGGAGCTGCCATATTTATGGATATGCTCAATTGCATCTTCAACACCATCAACCACCTCAATACAGCACTCCAGATCTCCATATTCTGTCCTCAGGGACTTCACTTCCGAGGGGCTAAACGTTAAATAGGAGGCAAACTTGGGGCCAGCATGGATCTTTACCTGGGAAGGGAAACAGTTTTGACATTTTCTTTAGAAATCAGTAAGAATATGATCAGTGTTATATAGTTTATCTTGTAAAATATAGAAGCTTGACCGGCTCCATCACTTTTCCAAAACATTAAAAATAAAGCCTGACTGGATATTTTACACAATAACTTCAGTTTTCTTTGTGCGGGCTTTTAGAAATCAGTGGCCACAAACCTAACATACACATTTACAAAAACTGGAGGACAGGAAAAGATGCAAAGATAAAATTTGATTACAACAGTAGAAAAATACAATAAAAAAGTGTTAGCATCTCCATTTCCATCTGGTTTTCCATTAAAAAACGCTTTATAATAGAATAAAACCCCACCATTTAGAGGTATATTAGACATTGTCTGCAGAAATTCTCAATCTTTTTAGATTTAAAGCGAAAAATAAAAAAGTATATTGCAATTTACAGTCCTTGGATGCGATAGCTACATCAGTTTCCAGTTTTTTTTAGGCTTTTCCCCCTTTATTTTGACCTGGTGATCTGCCCTTTAACACAGAAATAAAATAAAGGGGAAAAATCCTAAAAAGAAAACTAATGCAGCCGCAACATCTAATGATTGGTAAGCTGCAATATATTACATTTTGCTTTTTTTTTTTGGTTTTTGTGCACGCCCCCAAAATCTTTTTCTTGTCAAATTCCCAAGGGTAGACAGAAGACCAATAGAGTATAAATACGTTCTGCTTTCAGGGAGTTGAACATTAGGGGAAACAAAATCTTAAGGAGATCCTCATTGTCAGGCTTGCTAGTCTGTTTGGTTTTCTAAGCATCCATCATTTATGGTGAGGAATGCTACAGAGTGCCCCCACTGTGGATGGAGGAGCAACAGAAACACCTTTGGACAGCAGCATTGTCGGTCTGGGGAGAGGGGGTGTTAGATGTACAACTAGATTACAAATTGAAGCCAAACTCCAGTTCACACTGCAGTCATACAAACAGTTACAGAAGTTTTCCTTTTGGTATAAAGGTTTTAAATGAATAAGTGCTGATCATTGTAAGCACCCCTGACAGCTGTAAATGGTTTGTCCTATCCCTGTAACTGACATTTGCAGGAGAGCGTGTTCTGTTAAAAAAAAAAAAAAAAAAACACACACACTACAATAGACTTACTGGCTGGACCACCAGATGAAAATAAAGGAACGAAAGCCTAAAAAATAAAACTAATGCAGCCATCACATCTAAGAATTGGTAGGTTACAATATCATAAATGTTGGCTTTTGGGTTTTAATACTGCTTTATCCTGCAGTACAGCTGTGGTATGAGCAACTGGCCACCTGTAACTAGTAAACATAGAATTCACATTTGAAAGCAACATATATAACTTTAAAAATGTATTTTAAGCAAAGAAATACTACAAGGAAAATACACAGAGCATTCATAAAGTTTTCACGCACCCCTTTTTTTCAATTTTGTTATGTTGCAGCCTGATACTACAGTTGTTTAAATTCATTTTTTTCTCAATTTACACTCAGTACCCCATAATGACAAAGTGAGAACATAACTTTAGAAATGTTTGCCAATGAATGAAAAAAGTAAAAAACCACTGAAATATCACATTGGCATAAGTATTCAGACCCTTTGCAACAAGACTTAAAGGATAAGTTCACCTTTGGAACATGTTACATGTTCTACACGTTTTTATGGTGGAACATGTAACATGTTCCCACAGCTGCACCTGTGCCCACCCCCTCCCTCCGACAGATAGTACGGGGAGACTTCTTCCCGTACTGTCAGATTTGAAAACATTGCGGCCGTGTGGAGCACCGCCCACACAGCCGTGTCATTCATTCACAGTGTTCAGTGAATGAGTGCCTACAAGTCCCAGCAACCTTAGCGGCTGTCGGCTTGTAGTTTTCACAGTGCTGTGGAGCGCCATGGTAGTTCATTGAAGCTTCCTGTCAGTATATCTGCTTTACAGTACATCCCATACAGCAAGCAGATATTCTGACAGGTCTGCAGGAGATCTGCATGGCATCAGCAATCTACTAATCGCTGGTGCAATGCTTTAAAGGCTCCTTTGGACAAAAATATTAAACGCAATTATTGCAAAAATGTGCATGTATTATTTTTGTCCAAAAGAAACTTGTCCTTAAAAATTTAGCCCGGGTGCCTCCCATTTCTCTTGATCATTGATGAAATGCTTTTTCACCTCGATTGGAGTTCACCTGTGGTAAATTCAACTGTTTGGACATGATTTGGGTAGGCAGACACCTCTTTATAAAAAGGTCTCACAGATGACAATGCATACTGTATCAGAGCAAAAGTCATGAGGTCAAAGGAACAGTCTGCAAAGCTCAGAGACAGGATTATTGCAAGGCAGAGAGATCTGGGGAAGGCTACAAAATAAACTGTGCTGCACTGAAAATTCCCAAGAGCACAGTGGCCGCCATAATTCTCAAATGGAAGTTTGGCACAACCAGGACTTTTCCAGGTGCTGGTCGCCTGGCCAAATGGAAAAATTGGGGGAAAAGGACCTTAGAAAGAGGTGACCAAAAATCTGATGATCACTTTGAGCTCCAGAGATCCTGTGTGGTGATGGGACATAGTTCCAGAAGGACAACCATCACTGCAGCCCTCCAACAACCTGGGCTTTAGGGCAGCGTGGCATGAAAGTCTATTTGGAGGTTTTCAACAAAAGCACCTGAAGGAGTCTCAGACTGATGAACAAGATTCTCTGGTGTGATGAAACCAAGATTGAACTGATTGGCTTCAATCCTAAACATTATGTCTGGTGGAAACCAGGAACTGCTCATCACCTGCCCAATATCATCCCAACAGTGAGGCATGGCAGTGGCAGCATCATGCTGTGGGGGTGTTTTTTTTCAGCATCAGGGACTGGGAGACTGGTCAGGGGGAAAGCAAAGTGCAGAGATATCCTCAATGAAGACCTGTTCCACAACCCTCAGGACCACAGACTGGGCCAATGATTCACCTTCCAACATGAGAACAATCTTAAGCACACAGCAAGGACAACACAGGAGTGGCTTAGAGACAACTATTTAAATGTCCAAGAGTGGCCCAGCCAGATCCCTGACTTGAACTCTACTGAATATCTCTGGAGAGACCTGAAAATAGCGGTCCACAGATGGTCTCCATCCAACCTGACTGAGCTTGCAAGGATTTGAAAAGAATGGCAGAATATCCCCCAATCCAGGTGTGCAAAGCTTGTCATGTCATACCCAAAAAGACTCGACACTGTAATTGCTGCCATAGTTGTTTCAACAAAGTACTGAATAAAGGGTCTGAAAAATAAAAGTCAGCAGCTACAAAAAACTGTAGCTGCTGAATTTTAAAATACAGATACTTACCTGTCCCTCGGTCCAGCGCGGTGTCCTCAGCACGGCTCGTTTCACCAGGTGTTTTCTCTCCCTGGCGCCGGCATCTTCAGTGTGGGCATCCGGCTGTGACAGCTTGCGGCTTTGCACAGCCGGGTGCCCAGTGCACATGTGCGAGAATTGCAGCGCTTTGTGAATGGCCCCGTAGTCTTCTGGGACCTGTTATGTGTCCCAGAAGATTACAGGGAGGGAGGGGGGGGGGGGGGGGGGGGGGGGGGGACGACTTCCGATTACGTAGGCAATCACAGTGGAAGTGGGAGCGGGTATCTGTCAATTTCGGGTACCCCCTCTCCCTCGCTCCCCAAAGGTGCCAATCCTTAATGGGAAGCGGGGACAAAGGGTTAAAGTGGAACTTCCCCTTTTGGGTGGAGCTCTGCTTTAAGTACATGTGATATTTCTGTTTTTTTCTTTATAATAAATTCACAAACATTTTTAAAATTCTGTTTTCACTTTGTCATTAAGGGGTACTGAGTGTACATTGATGAGGGAAAAAAATGAATTTAAATAACTGTAGTATCAGGCTGCAACATAACACTGTAAAAAGTGAAGGGGGTCTGAATATTTATGAATGCACTGCATACAAACGCACCATGTACCCTCTTTAAGTCACACAATCTATCAAATACAAGTGTGCAACTATAGGTCTTTATTGTTTGGATCAGGTGACCTCCATAAACCATCTAAAAAGCTGAACATTTACAGACAGTACATATTACCTGCTCCACTCTCAACATGTCAATGATCTGGTCAAACAGTGGAGTCCTCAGGATATCTCTGTGAATCAACAGGGTCTCCATGGCATTGCAAGCAGCTGGGTATTCACACTTTGAATCTCTCACTAGGGCCCAATGATAACAAAAGCAATTAAATAACTGGATATATGACAAGAAAATCAATGCAGTGTTAACCTCTTGGCGCCGGCACCTCCCGGCCCTTTAAGAGTTTCAGAAGCCAGGAGGCGGGGTTTTAGGGTCACGTGACTGCCGTGATTCACCGTCACATGATTGGAAACAGTCCCGATCGAAAGGGGAGATTGGGACCTTTCCGGGAGTTGCGGACACAAGTGCTGGGGGCGAGCAGGTCATGCGCTCTCAGCACATACGTATTTTCAAATTGCACACAAATATGCGGCCACTCGGCATCAAGGCCCAGAAGCCGAGAGGCCACATATTTGTGTGTGGTCGGCGTCAAGGGGTTAATCTTCTTACAGCAAGCATTACATTTATAGAGAATACTGTATATATAAAGTGCACAGGCATGCGCCCTGAAGAGAGTTGTTTGAGAACCTGCAAGGGAAAATCTTGTAGAAAAATCATAGAACATACAACCAACCAGATCAGGACAGAGAGGTTTAAAAACCTCAATCCAATGGTTTTGACCATATTCGAACGATATAATCTAGAAACGAACAAATATTTTTTTTAGCAGTCTATATTAAGAAAAGATGTGTGGAACAGTAAAGGGTAAAGAGGCTGAATGCTGTTGAAAATGACATCAAAAGATTGGCAGAACGACTATGGAGATATAAGGAACAGGATGAACCAGAGTGGCAAATGTTGTCAGCAATGCAAAGATTGTTGAAGTCCTGGAAATGTCAATGGAAGGTAACTCTCTAGACTTAACATCTCCCAAGAAAGTCTTTGCAATGCTCACTTACCAATTCTTGTAACTTTCTCCACACTCGCCTCACTGTCCACATAGACATGACATATTCCCTCACTGTGCCCCATGACAGGGATGCTCTTAGCTGCTTTCTGGATGTCTCTGACCAGCTGTGAGGATCCCCGGGGAATGATCAGGTCAATCAGCTTGTTTAATCGGCACAAATCTTCAACCTCTTCTCTGGTGTTCACCTAGAAATTGAAAGACACGTCACTAGCCTCTCTTGGGACAAATTTACACAATTCTTCATCGCATAATGCCAAATCTTACCAGGCGATGCCCATCAGCCTAGGGGGTTTCAAATTACTGGTCTAAATTTTCAAATTAGGTCTAAATTTACCCAATCTGTCCAGTAATCATGTTACCAAAAGACAAAATTTTAACACATTACATGTAATATTTTCATGTGTAGGTTGATAGTCATGGACTACAGCAGTGGTCTCCAAACTGTGGCCCTTTGCATGCCACTATCTGGCCCTATTTCTCTCACTGACACCAACGATGGGGGGGGGGGGGTGCTATTCCTTCCAAAAGACACCAATGATGGGGCACTATTGCTTCCAACAGACACCAATGATAGGGCACTATTCCTTCCAACAGACTAACGATTGGGGGGGGCCTATTCCTTCCAACAGAAACCAACGATGGGGGGGGGGGGGGGGGGGGGGCTATTCCTTCCAACAGACACCAACAACGAGGCAATATTGCTTCCAACAGACACCAACGACGGGGCACTATTGCTTCCAGCAGACACCAACGACGGGGCACTACTGCTTCCAACAGACACCGACGGGGCACTATTCCTTCCAACAGACACCACGATGGGGGGGGGGGGGGCTATTCCTTCCAATAGACACCAGGATGGGGGGGGGCTATTCCATCCAGACACCAATTATGGGGGGGGGGGGCTGTTCCTTCCAACAGACACCAATGATGGGGGGGGGCTGTTCCTTCCAACAGACACCAATGATGGGGGGGGGGGGCTGTTCCTTCCAACAGACACCAATGATGGGGAGGGGGCTGTTCCTTCCAACAGACACCAATGATGGGGCACTGTTCCTTCCAACAGACACCAATGATGGGGCACTGTTTCTTCCAACAGACACCAATGATGGGGCACTGTTCCTTCCAACAGACACCAATGATGGGGCACTGTTTCTTCCAACAGACACCAATGATGGGGCACTGTTTCCTTCCAACAGACAGACACTGTTCCTTCCAACAGACCCAATGATGGGGCACTGTTCCTTCCAACAGACACCAATGATGGGGCACTGTTGGGGCACTGTTCCTTCCAACAGACACCAATGATGGGGCACTGTTCCTTCCAACAGACACCAATGATGGGGCACTGTTCCTTCCAACAGACACCAATGATGGGGCACTGTTCCTTCCAACAGACACCAATGATGGGGCACTGTTCCTTCCAACAGACACCAATGATGGGGCACTGTTCCTTCCAACAGACACCAATGATGGGGCACTGTTCCTTCCAACAGACACCAATGATGGGGCACTGTTTCCTTCCAACAGACACCAATGATGGGGCACTGTTTCCTTCCAACAGACACCAATGATGGGGCACTGTTCCTTCCAACAGACACCAATGATGGGGCACTGTTCCTTCCAACAGACACCAATGATGGGGCACTGTTCCTTCCAACAGACACCAATGATGGGGCACTGTTCCTTCAACTGACACCAATGATGGGGCACTGTTCCTTCCAACAGAGACCAATGATGGGGCACTGTTCTGTTCCTTCCAACAGAGACCCAATGATGGGGCACTGTTCCTTCCAACAGAGACCAATGATGGGGCACTGTTCCTTCCAACAGAGACCAATGATGGGGCACTGTTCCTTCCAACAGAGACCAATGATGGGGCACTGTTCCTTCCAACAGAGACCAATGATGGGGCACTGTTCCTTCCAACAGAGACCAATGATGGGGCACTGTTCCTTCCAACAGAGACCAATGATGGGGCACTGTTCCTTCCAACAGAGACCAATGATGGGGCACTGTTCCTTCCAACAGAGACCAATGATGGGGCACTGTTCCTTCCAACAGAGACCAATGATGGGGCACTGTTCCTTCCAACAGAGACCAATGATGGGGCACTGTTCCTTTCAACTGACACCAATGATGGGGCACTGTTCCTTTCAACTGACACCAATGATGGGGCACTGTTCCTTTCAACTGACACCAATGATGGGGCACTGTTCCTTCCAACAGAGACCAATGATGGGGTACTGTTCCTTCCACTGATATAAACAAAGGGGCAATACTACTCCCACTAAGATCAATGATGGGGCACTGTGTACACATATTGGCACCACAGAATTTTCTAGTGACACTGGCCACAGCCTGTTCTCTCAAAGTCTGAAGGACAGTAAACTGGCCCTTTCTTTAGAAAGTACAGAGACCCCTGATCTACAGAAAGCCTCCTTTAAGCCAACATTTTCTTGAATGTAAACAGTGCCCATTGCTATTTTATCTACTCTTCAGTCTTCTCTTTCTTGCATTTCTATAATATATAAACATTCTTCCAAGTTATCCAGTAAGTAATTGGTCTCCTAGAGGAAACACAGGAGCTCAGTACATACCAGTTGGACTGCATCCTTGACTCCATGCAGTGAGAGAGCCTCCTGGGTGAGACGGTACAGAGTCTGGTTGCTGTGTTAGAAGCCTTTTTTCCTCCTTTTAGAAGAAGACCATTGCCACTGGCGATAGCTAGGGCTGAAACCTGACAAGGAAGGCAAAACAAAGGTCAACCACTGGCAGCACAGCCTATCAGAAAAAAAAGAAGACAGTTTAAATCTTTCTAAACTGTGAACAGTAAACAGCCTTGGAATAAATGGCAGAACTGAGAAGGACCCACAGAGGTGAGGTGAGATCTTATAGGCATTCTAATCTTCCTACCTGCAGTTTGTGTTTTTTACCTCCATAAGATGTCCAATGATCATGTAGTTTCATGGTGCCATTTGTTGCTCAGTATGCACTGCTTATAGCAGAGTAAATCTTCATATTCTGGTGGCAGAAGTTTCAGTTTGTGTTCAAACATGAGGCACGGCACTGAACAGCTTAATGCATGAGCTCTGTCGGTCTAATCTGAGAACTGACACTTCCTGTGAAGAAGCTACATATTCCACAATCCTTGGTGCCGTCAGCCTAGTGCTCTGCAGGTGAGAGCTGCACAGTAATTGGACCTGACACAGCCACAAACAGGCAGAGCCATTAACTATGCAGTTTTCCTATCACTTGCACTGCGATATCTGTGATGCAACACAGAGGAAATGGTGAGTTACACACAAGACATTGCCTACCCCTTTAGAAAATAGGAACAGGCTAACTACAGCAATACATGGACATAGAGGAATTGATTATCCACGACACTACAAACTGCAGAGAGCCCATCATTATAAGGTAAGGCTAACAAACGACACAAGGAATATAACTACACTAATACCTAGTTAAAACAACCAAAACATTTGAAAGTGTACAATACCTTTAAAGCCATACATAGCTGCTAAAATGTATTAAAAACAATAAATGAGACTCTTGGTTTAATACACTGAAAACCTGTGTGGTGTTATAACACAACATCTGCCATCATGGTATAGGGTCAGAAGAAGAATCATGACCCCCCCCCCCCCCTTCCCAATTGCAGGTAACTACCAAGTCATCTTAAAGAATGATGCTGAACCTTATCCAGTGATGCCTTTGACTGGCCGTATTAGCCATGTATGGGCTCTGGTGGCTCTCAGAGTCCAAAAACAGAATAAAGGCCAATCAAGTGTAAAACAGGGATGCAGAAAAGTTTATGGGAGGCAGATGTGGTGATATTTAAAGCTGAAGTCCAGGAATTCAGCTCCTTTGTAAAAAGTGAAAGTAACACTATGAGTTAGGTCCAATCAGGTGCATGACATCTTCTGGACTTAGCTCTATTAATTACACCTGACAGGTTTATACTTCCCTGACAAGACTGGCTACTGCTGTAGTTCCGGGAGCTTGTTGCTGAGGTTTCTGGTCTCTGTACCTTCAACAGTAGAGTGACTGCAGCTGCTATGCCTGCCCCTCCCCTCCTCCAGCCCAATCACAGAAGCCTTGGTATTGAACGCATTCACAAAATACAAAGGCTTCTATAAATGGACAGTAGAGGGGAGGGCTGGGCACAGCTAATCTGTGTGGTTCTCTCCACTCAGATCCTGGAGTGTCTTTGGCACAGCAATAAACCTGTCAGATGTAAGTAATCGAGATGAGCCCAGGAGAGGTCATGCACCTCATTGGGTTTAAAACATAGTGTGCCTTCACTGTTTAAAAAGTGGCTGAATTCCTGGAAATCAGCTTTAGAAGTACAGCCAACACTCAAAACACTAAAAAAAAAAAAAAAAAAGGGACAATGGTGCATGAGTCAATGCTAACCACATTTCTGTAGTACTCTACTAGCCCATTTAACCACATAATATTTTCTCAACACTACCATACCTGTGGAAGACAGTCTGGTCGAGACTCGAAAATCACCAGCAGGACTCCGATTGGTACCGTCACCTGCTCCAACTCCAGCTCCTTGGCGATTCGTGTTCTACGAATGACGCGCCCCACACTGTCTTGGGATGAGGCAGCTATCTGCCTGAGTCCAATGGCAAGACTGTTTAACTGGCTGTGGACAAGCTCAACCGTTTCAAGAGTGGAGGGCCAGTCTTCCTGAAAAAATAATAAAAGGAAAAGCATTCTTAGGTTATAGACCACAAGGGGAATTGTGGAACAATAAAGAATACCTTTAGGATATCTCTAAGCTGAAAATCCTAGACTCACTAAAGCCTTGTATACACACTACGAAAATCATGAGGATTGTTCATTTTTTTTTTTTTTTTTTTTTAAATTCTAGTCCCATATTGATAACAAGAGTCACTACATGGATGACAATTCTCATAAGACAGAACACAACTTCCCACATACAGTCAGGTCCATAAATATTGGGACATCGACACAATTTAAAATTTTTGGCTCTATACACCACCACAAAATTTGAAATGAAACAAACAAGATGTGCTTTAACTGAAGACTGTCTGCTTTAATTTGAAGGTATTTACATCCAAATCAGGTGAACGATGTAGGAATTACAACAGTTTGCATATGGTGCCTCCCACTTGTTAAGGGACCAAAAGTAATGACAGTTGGCTTCCAGCTGTTCCATGGCCAGGTGGTGTTACTCCCAATTATCCCAATTACAATGAGCAGATAATAGGTCCAACTGTGCTATTTGCATTTGGAATCTGTTGCTGTCAACTCTCAAGATGAGATCCAAAGAGCTGTCACTATCAGTGAAGCAAGCCATCATTAGGCTGAAAAAAAAAAAACAAAACAAACCCATCAGAGAGATAGCGAAAACATTAGGCATGGCCAAAACAACTGTTTGGAACTCTTAAAAAGAAGGAACGCACCGGTGAGCTCAGCAACACAAAAGACCCGGAAGACCACGGAAAACAACTGTGGTGGATGACCGAAGAATTCTTTCCCTGGTGAAGAAAACACCTTCACAACAGTTGGCCAGATCAAGAACACTCTCCAGGAGGTAGGTGTATGTGTGTCAAAGTCAACATCAAGAGAAGACTTCACCAGAGTGAATACAGAGGGTTCACCACAAGATGGAAACCATTGGTGACTTCAAAAACAGGAAGGCCAGATTAGAGTTTGCCAAACGACATCTAAAAAAGCCTTCACAGTTCTGGAACAACATCCTATGGACAGATGAGACCAAGATCAACTTGTACCAGAGTGATGGGAAGAGAAGAGTATGGAGAAGGAAAGGAACTGCTCATGATCCTAAGCATACCACCTCATCAGTGAAGCATGGTGGTGGTAGTGTCATGGCGTGGGCATGTATGGCTGCCAATGGAACTGGTTCTCTTGTATTTTTTGATGATGTGAGTGCTGACAAAAGCAGCAGGATGAATTGTGAAGTGTTTCAGGCAATATTATCTGCTCATATTCAGCCCAAATGCTTAAGAACTCATTGGACGCCGCTTCACAGTGCTTCTAGATGGACAGTGACCCAAAGCATACTGGGCACAAAGAGTTTTTCTGGGAAAGAAGTGGAATGTTATGCAATGGCAAGTCAATCACTCTGAGATCCGATTGAGCATGCATTTCACTTGCTGAAGACAAAACAAGGGAAATGCCCCAGAACAAGCCCAACTGAAGACAGTTGCAGTAGACCTGGCAGAGCATCACCAGGTTGAAAAAACAGCGTCTGGTGATGTCTATGCGTTCCACTTCAGGCTGTAATTGACTGCAAAGTTTGCAACCAATATTAAAAAGTGAATCAGTTTGATTTATGGTTATAGTATTCTGTCCCATTACTTTTTGGTCCCTTAACAAAAAGGCACATATGCAAACTGTTGTAATTCCTACACCGTTCACCTGATTTGGATGTAAATACCCTCACGAAGTACACGCCAACACTCAATAAAGCTGACAGTCTGCAGTTAAAGCACATCTTGTTCATTTCATTTCAAATCCATTGTGGGTGGTGTATAGAGCCAAAGATGTTAGAATTGTGTCGATGTCCAATATTTATGGACCTGACTGTATGTAGCTACGGTCTAACCCAGGGTGGGCAAACATTTTGACATTTTTGAGGGTCGAGAATGGGTTCATAAATCACCAGGGGCAAGAGTAGGAATGAATCCCCATAGTAAGCATAGTAATTAATCCCCCATATAGTAATTGCATCCCCCATATTAATTAATCCCCCCTATAGTAATTCATCCCCCATAGTAATTCATTCCCCTATTAATTAATCCCCCCCATAGTAATTCATTCCCCATATTAATTAATCCCCCATATAGCAATTCATCCCCCCTATAGTAATTCATCCCCCATATAGCAATTCATCCCCCCGTATATAGCAATTCATCCCCCATATAGCAATTCATTCCCCCTATAGTAATTCATTCCCCCTAATAGTAATTCATTCCCCCTATAGTAATTCATCCCCCTATAGTAATTCATCCCCCCTATAGTAATTCATCCCCCATAGTAATTCATCCCCATATAGTAATTCATCCCCCATATAGTAATTCATCCCCCCATATAGTAATTCATCCCCCATATAGTAATTCATCCCCCATAGTCAATTCAAGCCCCCATAGTAATTCACTCCCCAAGTCGTAAGCCAAGTCCCCCCTGTGTCAATTTACTTACCTTTGCTCCGCGCGTTCCTCTCGCCATGTTCCCACGCCGTTCCGGTCTTCAGGGCGGACTGTGAGAGTGAGCTAGCTCCCCTCACGTTCGTCATGCTGCCCCGCCTACACACATCCTGACAGCCAATGTTTGCCTGCCCTGGCTGTTTTTTTTTTTTTTTACACGCTCCGCGGGCCGGATTAAAAGGTCCGCCGGGCCGTATACGGCCCGCGGGCCGTAGTTTGCCCATTGCTGGTCTAACCTATGGTCACTTTTTTTCTGATCAGTCGCGGACTTGCTCAGTCAATTTTTTATAGGTTGGATTATTGTCCTATTCAATCGTTAGGATAAACAAAAAAAAATAAATTCCGACAGATCCCTCTGGAAATGTTTGTCTTAAATTCATATTGGCTCTTGAAAGCAGTGTACTAACCAACAGAAAATTGAAGGATTGTTCCAAATACAGATCATTTCAACTGATTTTTTTAATAGTGTGTACTAGGCTTTATTCCTGAAAAAAGATGCAAGTTCATTTTGTTACGAGATCAGTACACAGGCCAT